CATTAAAAAAATTACGTATAACATGGTTATACCAAAGTTTTTTAAAGTAGTTTAAATACACACAAGTTTTTACTAATAACCTTATTACTGTACTTCCAATATTCTGATAATTTTATGTCAAACTTCAATTAAAAAAAAGGTTGGAAAATCCAAAAGTGCAACTCTCATAATGCTCATATGATAGTTAAAAAATTAAAAAAAAAATGTAAATTGTAGCTCTATTCGTCAAAGAGTTCCAGTAGCAGTCATCAAAGTCCACCTTCAAGTCACTCTATCAAGTCCAGAGGTAAGGTCTCATCATAGCTAACAAAACGAGCCCAAAGTCGGCACACCTATTACTACTCGTACACTTTCAGGTCTCCATAAAGTCCAAGACGTATTAATATAAGACGTAATATTTATATATAAATCGCGTGTACTTTTAGCGAAAATAATATTGTAATAAAAATCTGTAATTATAAAAATAATAATAATATCTTACCTTGGTCAAGTATGTATTAAATTTGGTTTTTGAAATATTTTGTATTTCTAAAGCGATCGATATTTTTCAGCACGAACCGCTGTAAACAAACGACCACTTACGACGGCGGCTGAGCCCAGAGTAAAAAAGTACTCTGTGGCTGGGAGTGAAGCAAAGTGTATTTAGTAAAATAAATTGATACAAGGCTGCTCAAAACACCGAAATCTCGCTATTTCTCAGCCGAAAAAAATAATTATAATTAAACAACACATTTATATTTTAAAAATAGATTGAGTTGAACAATTGATATTTTCAAAAGTTTCGTGTTTACGCCTCCATGCGGATTTGATAAATCTACACCATATGCCGTGTAGTGTGTAGTGGCGGTCAAGAATATCCACTACCCCATATCCTCCCGTGGGTGTCGTAAAAGGCGACAAAGGGAAACAGCCAGGAGATGGGCAGCAGCATCTTCCTGATAATAGCCAAATGACAATAAAAAAACTGCGGTTGCCAACCCGCTCGCCAAGCGTGGCAACTATGGCAAATACCCCCCTATGAAGAGAGTAACAAAGAGACGGCCCCCAGTCCCCGGCGGCCCCGCTATTCCTGGCTACGGTGGCGACCATGGTAACGGCGGGGCAGGGGGTGCTAAGAATCTCCGGTGGAGGTTCGGTTGCCACCTTAGACGACTCGACCTGGCAACGTACAACGCACGCACCCTGAGGACTGACGAGAAGATCGTGGAGCTGGAAGAAGAGATAGACAAGTTGCGCTGGCATATTATAGGATTATCTGAAGTCCGAAGAGAGGGGGAGGACACGGTAATCCTCGAATCCGGCAACTTGCTCTATCACCGGGAGGGCGACCATCTGTCCCAAGGAGGTGTCGGATTTATCGTCCACAAGTCTCTCGTTAACAACGTTGTAAAAATCGGGAGTGTGTCGACGAGGGTTGCGTACCTTATACTCAGAATCACCAAACGGTATTCGCTGAAGGTCATACAGGTTTACGCACCAACCTCGGCACACCCCGATGAGGAGGTGGAGGAAATGTATGAGGATATCTCTAGAGCCATGCATTCCTCCAAAACCCAATATACGGTGTTAATGGGAGACTTCAATGCAAAACTAGGCACAAGAGAGAACGGTGAGCTGAAAGTAGGGAAATTTGGAATAGGGCAACGGAACCCAAGGGGCCAGCAGCTGGCCGACTTCATGGAGAAAGAGGGACTCTTTATGATGAACTCTTTCTTCCAGAAGCGGCCCCACAGGAAGTGGACCTGGTCGAGCCCCGACGGTTCCACAAAAAATGAGATTGACTTCATTATGACGACCAGACGACAACTGTTCAGTGATGTCTCCGTGATCGCGAGGGTGAAAACTGGTAGCGATCACCGAATGGTTAGAGGCACACTGAACCTAAACGTTAAGTTGGAGAGGTCTCGTCTAATGAAGTCAACGCTCCGTCCCCCTCGTGCTCTGTTTCAAAGTCCCGAAACCTTTCAGCTCGAGTTACAAAACCGTTTTCAGTGCCTAGAAGACTGCAATGAAGTGGACGATATGAATGACAAGCTCGTGGAAACTGTCCATGCGGTTGGAGCTAAGTTCTGCAAGACCCGCCGCAGAAGAACACAAAAACTCTCCGATCACACTCTTAATCTCATGGCTGTTAGGCGGGAGATGAAGCTACATTCTTCAACAGACTTGACAGCATACAGGCATCTGAACAGACAGATCTCCAAATGCATGCGGCGGGACTTACGCAACTTCAATACAGCTCGTATTGAAGAAGCGATCGAGCGGAACCAAGGCTCCAAAGTCTTTGCCAGAGATCTGTCTGCCAGAAAGAGCCAACTGTCAAAGCTGAAGACAGAATGTGGCAGCATCGTTTCCGGGACACCTGAGATTTTGATTGAGATTGAGAGGTTCTATGGGCAGCTGTACACATCATCGTTGGAGCCACACGCAAGTGTGAGTAACGATCCAAGAGCGAGTCTCATCCGACACTATTCCGAAGATATCCCGGATGTCAGTCTGAGCGAGATTAGGATGGCTCTCCAGCACCTTAAAAACGGTAAGGCCCCAGGCGAGGATGGAATTACAGCGGAGCTTCTGAAAGCGGGTGGAAGACCGGTACTTGAAGTCCTTCAGAAGCTCTTTAATTCCGTCCTCCATGGTGGCATTACACCGGAGGCGTGGAGCAGAAGTGCGGTGGTCTTGTTCTTCAAGAAAGGTGACAACGCTCTCTTGAAGAACTACAGACCGATTTCCCTTCTGAGCCGCGTCTACGTGCTGTTTTCGAGAGTCATTACGAATCGTCTCGCGCGCAGACTTGACGACTTCCAGCCTCCCGAACAAGCCGGTTTCCGAAAAGGCTTTAGCACCATAGACCACATACATACCCTTCGGCAAGTTGTACAGAAGTCCGAAGAGTACAATTTGCCACTATGTCTGGCGTATGTGGACTATGAGAAAGCCTTTGATTCCGTCGAAATTTGGGCGGTGCTGCAGTCCCTTCAGCGGTGCCAAGTTGACTGTCGGTATATCGAAGTGTTGAAGTGCTTGTACAGTAGGGCTACGATGGCTATCCGAGTACAGAACCAGAGTACGAAACCTATCCAATTGCAGAGAGGTGTAAGACAGGGTGACGTCATATCCCCGAAACTCTTCACCGCTGCATTGGAAGACGTTTTCAAGCTTCTGGACTGGAAAGGATACGGTATCAACATCAATGGCGAGTACATCACTCACCTTCGATTTGCCGACGATATAGTCCTTATGGCAGAATCGCTGGAGGACCTAAGCACTATGCTCAATGACCTCAATAGTGTTTCCCAACGGATAGGTCTTAAGATGAACATGGACAAAACTAAGATCATGTTTAATGTCCATGTCACACCTATGCCGATAGTTGTTGGGAACACTAAGCTCGAAGTTGTTGACGAGTATGTTTACCTGGGACAAATAGTCCGACTGGGTAAGTCCAACTTCGACCGAGAGGTCAATCGACGGATTCAACTCGGCTGGGCAGCGTTCGGGAAGCTACGACACATCTTCTCGTCAGACATACCTCAAAACCTTAAAACGAAATTGTACAACCAGTGCGTGTTGCCAGTGATGACTTACGGAACTGAGACGTGGTCCTTCACTGCTGGCCGTATGAGGAAGCTCAAGGTCGCTCAGCGAGCTATGGAGAGGGCTATGCTCGGAGTTTCTCTGCGTGATAAACTTAGGAATGAGGATATCCGCAGTAGAACCAGAGTGACCGACATAGCCCAACGGATTAGTAAGCTGAAGTGGCAGTGGGCCGGCCATATAGCTCGAAGAACCGACAACCGATGGGGAAGAAAGGTTCTCGAGTGGCAGCCTCGTACCGGTAGGCGAAGTGTAGGGCGTCCCCCCACGAGATGGAGTGACGACCTGGTAAGACATGCAGGAAGTCGATGGATGCAGGTGGCTCAGGACCGTGTTTTGTGGCATTCTTTGGGGGAGGCCTATGTTCAGCAGTGGACTTGTGAAGGGCTGTAATGATGATGATGATGACACCATATGCCACTAAAACCGTTTTTTCATGTAAAAATAGCAATTGGTCGATTTAAAAAAATAAGTTCAACTATCATTTATCTTTCTGACAATGTGCTTTTCATATCATTTACTAGCTGGCCAGGCAGACGTTGTTCTACCCATACCAATGACCCTCTGTCCTATTAAAAAATCCTTAAATTAGTAATAAAAAAGTATTGAGTGTCACTTATTAGGATAAAAATTATCATATCTCTCAAGTTGGATGAAACTGCACAGAGTGTGCAATATTTCATTGAAATCAGTTCAGTAGTTTAGGAGTTCATCGCGGACAAACAACGTGACACGTAATTTTTATATATAAATATATGTTCAATATGATTGTTAGATACGATTCCATGCGACAAAACGTTGGAATCTTGATTTTTAGGCACTAGTAAAACATACCTACGCGCTTTGCGCCTAAGGCATGCAATACCAAAGTATTAATTAACAAATATAATCTGTCAATCAGTTACATTGGTGTTCTGGGAAGGAATTAACCGCTATATAGGCTTGTAATAAATAAAATAAGCCATTACTTTATAAGAGTCACCTGCGTCAAGTACACCTGGCACATCTGGTACACCTGCGTCAAGCTGAGCTTCCCTTTCGCTTTTTCCACGTCTTCCCTAAGTACCTTGTGGTTAGGGTGATCGGGCGTAGCTTTTATTCTACTTCTACGGTACTTGCGCCGTTTTATTTATAAGTAATATAATAAAAGGCATTCGTGATGTATGAGGGGATAAAATGCAAGATAATGTATGTTTACCTTTATTATATTAATTTGTATTTTTTTAGAATATGGTCAAATACTTCTAAGATCTCAACCAAAAAGACATTACGGGTAAAAACAAAATGTATCAATTACGTTAAGTGTTAAGACATGTTTGACTGGCAACATTACGAATATTTAGATACTTTCACATTTTATTTTAAAACAGCCATTAAAATTGGTAATTTTCGGTAATACTCACTCGGCACTATTTTTTCCTCCCCTGTGCAACATGCCCGCTTGTGCCATCTCACGCCCACGCCCTGCAAAAAAAAAAACAAACGATATTAATCTCGAGATGTTCACGAGATTCTCCGCATCTTTCCATTTTATAAATATGGTTCATGAACTGTTATTATCTTATACTAAAAGGGGAATTATAAAAACACCAATAGCAAAAATAATTTTAATTTTGGCGACATAAATAATACATTTTCTCTTAATTATTCCATTGAGCTGCCCCTAATTTAATTCGGAACACCGGTTCTTTATATTTTTAGAACAAAGCATTTCCATTTATTTTGTCCGATTTGAATAGATTTTAAATCAAATTAACTTCGTTTTAATATATAATTAGTACTTTTGTTAAAAGATTTTACCCTTAAATGAAGTAAATATAGCCTTCATTTGGAAAACTGAAACTAAACAACATTTCCGATTTACAAGTAGGACGGTATTTACCATGATATTTTATTATAATTAGGTTAATGTTAACAATATTATAGATCATATTATTATTATCAAAAAATATAACATCAATTTGTGAGAAAAAAAAAATATAGCATTTTTTTTTCTTGATAATGGTGACAAAGGACACAACCCAATGTTGTGTGTGAATGAAAGTTCGATGTAGAATCACAATATGGGCGCAGGGTTCACGCAACCATAAGTTGTGAGTAAATAAAGATTCAAATGTACTTTAATATTTATTTACTTTTGTAAAATAAACTTTAGTAGGCAGTTTCCGGTTTTCGTCACTCACACGAAACAGCTGGTTGCATTTGCGAGAGCTTGGTCCTGCCCGTCGTGGAATCATTTATGCGCTACAACCTGTATCCAGACATGTATTATCAGTTAAAATACATTACATTTTATTTAAAATATTTTTTTTAAATACTATTGATTTATTTATGATGTCAGTTTAACGATAATATCGAAATAGTTACAAAAACTATCAACTGAGCAGGAGAAACAATTATTGTACCAAAGTGAACGCGTTAATCACTCTCCATTTCCGATGTAACATTTACGATAAGGTAGGCTGGAACGCTATGCCAGAGACATGAGAACAACGGCAAATAGCAGTGCGACTTTGTAACTCTAATGGAAATTGTATGCTGGTGAGCATCGCTTGCCGATGGCAATCACTCCTTAACTGCGTGGTTTTTCATTATGATATTATTTTGTAGCCTTAAATAAGATAATCATTAAAATATTTGCTTATAATCGATAACTGAGTACCTGACACTTTTACACAATACAACGAATCCGAACATTTCGAAGCCGGCCACGATTTCTATCAGATTTACACAATCACACTGCGAGCCGAAGTAAAAACCAATAAATTTAAAATTAAAATTAAATAAAAAAAAACCGGCCAAGTGCGAGTCGAACTCGCGCACCGAGGGTTCCGAACAAATCCGTAGGTATATAAGTTTAAAATGATTAAAAATATTTTTATTATATGATGTAACTAAAAATTTATGCTTTTCGCAATTTTACTTTATCTGTGCTATATTACGTTGCTTGGTACCAAATTTTAAGATTCTGAGTTCACGGGAAGTATCCTGTAGGTTTTGATTCCCTTGCGAATGTCGAAAACTTTCAGCATAAACGACTGTATCTTTTGATTGCGTTGGTTTAGAAGTTTGATTTTTTCACAGCTCCAAGGGACAGTAGATTTGAGTATTTGATATGAATTTCAGCTTGATACCTCCACGCATTCCTGAGAAAAAGGGTCTTGACAGACAGACAGACGGACAACAAAGTGATACTATAAGGTTTCAGTTTTTTCCTTTTGAGGTATGGAACCCTAAAAATAATAAAAGTTTAAGAAACTTAAAAAAACACGCATAGATAGACACGCACAGTTAGTGAGAATACTATGTTAGTCACGAAATTATTGTGTTGTCATCGGTTCTTAATATATCAGCCAAATTATTTAGATGTCTGGAAGTGAGTCAAAATGTCATTACATTCATATATGCAGTTCAAGCTAATATGAACCGTGTAATAATAATAATAATTAATTTTATTCTTGGTCACAAAGTAGGCAAGAAAGAGAATTATAAAATTAATGCTATAAAATGGCGCCCGTTTTATGATCCATCAAAGGCATACATCAATTAGCGTTGTCGTTTATTAAGAAGTTCAGAAGAAATATTTAAAAACATTATTTTAACAGTTTAATCAACAATCAATTAAGCCAGATAGAGCTTGATAAATTGCCGGTGGAGAATATTTCAGTGTCGTAGCGCCTTGCTGCTTCCAGTTAAATAGCGAAATTTCGCGATAGCTTCACTTTAAACGACGCGTCGTTTATTTATGAGGGACGATTTTAAAGCTATCCATTTTGTTGGTAGTTGGCAAAGAAAAACAATAAATATACACCAAAGTGAGCAAATTCGACTAACAACGGTTCAGTCTGTTGAACCTTACATCAATTTAAAATTCAAATAATTAATCACAAACAAATAATTAAGTTGGGAAATACTTTTATACATGGAACATTCTCATCTCCAAACACATTAAAAACTGACTTGTGCCTACTGTATTAATACTTAATTTCTTTAGTAAGAGGCGATAAAAGGAATTGGGAAAAATAACTATGTGTGTGGCGTGTTTGCAATAAATGTTATTCTTTCTTTCTTTTTCTTTCTTCTTATCTTACATCTTACATTTACTATTACTGTTCACAGACCTGGTCTCATTTTTTAAAAGCTTATGTACTATTTGTCTGCTGCGCTTCTCCAATGCCAACATGTCGGACTTCACATGTACGCGAAATATGTTATTTCTCATATATTTAGGTTTCATTGCGATATTTTCCCTTAACACCTCAGTACTACCTAGGGAGAATTTTATATACTACACGGTTAATGTAAACATAACGCTTTTTAACACATTTTCAAGTTTTTAAATTTTGAAGTAAAAGTTACGTTACTTAGTTTCAAGTATTTTTTTGCCATTCCTATCAATATCCTACTAAAATTTTCGTTGCTGAACGATAAATAATATTTGTTATATGACCGTAGTTGTGTTTAGTTTTTACACTAACGATGAAATTTCAATCCGATATCAATCTGACTGAAACTGACTGTATCTAACTGTTTAATTCTTGATTAATCAGTTTGATTCTCCTTAGAATTCCTTATATAAAGATAAATAAAGATTCGAATGATACTCTTTTTAAAGGTACATACACATATGTACAAAATATTATATCGCGCTACTTTTGATGTCATAAAGATTAAAAATAAGGTAAGAAAGAAAGTTTGAAAAAAATAAAATAAGTCTCTTTCGCTTCAACATGCCATCTGACCGCACTAATTGGAGTCATTTGGTGAAACGGTCGTAATTTAACGTGATTTTCCTAACAGCGAGCGTATTTAGTAACCACGTGTGTATAATTATATCAACAATCTACAAAGTTACTTAATAATCATCGCGTATTGTCACTACAAGCCGCCGTATTAACATAAATAAACCTATTAACAATGAAATTGTGGCGTGCACGCTTATAATTAACGTAACGAGCCAGTTTTAAGTGGATTACAAGCAATATTAATCGCGAAAATTTAGCACGGTGTGTAATGTAACGAAAGCTCTCAGTTTTATTCGGTGAGACACGCGATTTACTCATTATCCTGGCAACACTTTCGGACATATGTCCCATGGTAACCGTTTAGATTGCTTACTATTTTATAGAGCATAAAATAAAACCTTAAGTGTGTATTGCTGTTGTAAACATTACTAACATTAATATTGCTGCAGCACGAAAAAGTCAGCTCTAACGGAAAGTCCCAAACTCTTTCAGAATACCAGCGTATAATAGCAGCATAATACTACTGTGTTTCGTATAGAGTGAGAAAAACTGGAGTGCTTCTTATTAACAACGAGCTATTCCACTATAGTCTTAATTCATAAATCAAAGAAAATTTATGTTACAGAAGTGAACAGCAGCGTCGGAAAGGGACGCCCCAGACGAAAGTTTATCGACTAAATTGGCGATATATTAAAGATGGGCCAGGTAAAGAGTACCCTTAACCAACGAGCATGTATGCTTAGGTATATGTAAAGGAAGCGAGAGAGGTGTGTCAGGATCGTACCAAATGGAAGTCCGTAGCTCTGCCTACCCCTTTGGATGATAATATCTTTCATGTTATAAAAATGTATCGTAAACGAAAATTATGAATATTCCCTAAGGAAATCTTTCAATTGGTAAAGGGTGTTTTTTATAAAATTCAAGTTATAAATAAACACATAGACAATGCACCTGATGGTAAGTGGTTACGATAGCTAATGGACACCTACAACCAACTTCAAATAGAAAAGCTACAGATGCGTTGTCACCTCTGAAGGCTATGATGGAAACAAATGCCGTAATTATACTGGCTCTCTTTATATTTCAGACCGTAACACAACAGTGCATGTACCGTTTGACGAGAAAAATAGGAAGAGGATGGTACCTGCACAAACGGAGTTTTAGGCAGAAAGGGATTCCTACCACGTAACTGAAAAGAGAAAAATTTGAAACCCTATATCATTCCTACAAGTAAGACGAATCTAATGACACGCCATAAGTTAAATTCCATCAATCCGTTTAGGCCACAGAGCGTGCCAAGGAAATAAACATAAGTACATACATATTTACATATATGCACACAACATCAAATCAAAAGAACCAATATTTCATTTACACTGCATAATAAACAACAAACTGAATCTAAATTTTATTTATAAAAGTATTAGATCGAGTCCATTTGCAATTTACACAATATAAAATCTATTTTAGTCAGCACAATGGTTAAAAATATAGAAATATATATCTAGGGACGTGTCGTAAAATGCCGAGCAAGCTATACGCGGGACGCTATCGCAGAGAAATCCCCTGGAATTGAGTAAAAGTTGCGATGCCTTGTATCAAACCCTGTTACCATGGAAACGCTATAAAATGAAGCTAAACTCGGAGTGGCGCAATAAAATACGAAGTTTGTGTTCTATGTTTAGTATCATTGCACAATATTATGAGTGCGACACATAGATTTATATTTTTAACGAATGTTTAATTCGAAGGTTTTTGTTTTGAAAGATTGAAACTGATAAAATTGAAATAAATTATCTTAATTCAACGCTTAAGTTATGGGTAAAACTGTAGTTAACTGAAAAAATTATAAAAAGCGTTTCAATATTATTATAAATTGAAGCAATGAAGCTACCATTAATTTTGGGACATATTTACACAATATGTACGTATTAAAATTAGTTTAAATCGGTTTTATTTTATTGGTCAGACTTTTTAGAGAAATTTAAGTGAAACACAATTGCTATCGCCTTCTAAGGCATTTTCAAATGTTTCCATGCAATTTAATAACCGTACACGAGTGGTGTTTACGTATATAATAATGACTTCAAAATAATAGATTTTCAGAAAATTTTCATAAAATTTCATTTATATGTTACCAGTGGGAATATTTGTATTGATTAATAAAATATTTTCCTATCTAAATGAAATATCTATTTATATTTGAAAAGGCCTTTCAAAAAATAATTAAATTCGTTTAGCTTACCTGGACGTGCTGTCCGGTGGTCTGTACTGTTGGTTTTTAATTTTGGTCATCCCAGATACCTGTAACAAGTTCACGGATCAATTGCAACATAATAAATAATGTACGGTTTAATCTGAACAATGTATCAAAATGAAAATAAACAAGTTAGTAATTTCTACCAACGAAATTCATTCGTTTTAATGATTTTAAAATAATGAATGTTAACAATTTATGAGACAACAGTTATAAAAGTTTATAATTGAGAGAACGGAAAATTCCGCGTTCTGCAGAAAGTTTGAAATTTTACTCATTTCTCAATCGAATGAATAATGCTGTTTGTTATATGATATTATGAAACGTTAAAATAATGTGGAAATATTCAGTGCAATGCTTTGGAATGTATTGTATCGGTCCTAGTAAGAAGTCCCAATCTATATTATCTAGATAGATACTCAATAACGCGGAATATGTAATGTGTTTTAAATGAAAAGTGCCACTATTGTCTAAAGTAATAGCTCATATGTAAATACTATTTGCTTTAATAACACTAAGTTTGCAAAGAATTTTCTACTTTGCTTTAATTACTAAAGTAGCTTTACAAAAATATTGTCATTAATAATAGAAAGTTCTCACTCGGGTTTTCTAACTTAATATTTTAAGATTCCATCAATATTTTCACAAGAGCCGGTAACAGTTCACTAACGGACATTAACCTTTCTCAAGTAAAGATAATTTGTCGTAACGGCATGCTTGGTAAACGGATTGACGATCACATTAACAGAGGTCTTAAAAGCTATCCTTGAATTAAGATGGTTAAACTGCCATCTATTGCATACTTCACTTTCATGATAAATGTGTTGTTGCTTTTTATAACACTAATAATTGCACATCGTATCCAATCTTATTAGGTTCTTTAATTTTCTTATTGAACGCGTAACGATTACTAGCTGTTCTTATTTCGAGACGGATTGCATTCTAAAGGAGAATAGATTGAACATGGAACAAACGACCTTCCTTTTTTATAGGATAGGGTGACAAACGAGCATACAGTCCACCGATGGTAAGTGGTTGCTGTAGCCCATAGACATCTACATCTATCCTCAATAAAGACTCAAGATGCAGATGCGTTGTCTAATTTCTGTAATGTAACTAAAATGGAATGCCTCTTTGCCAGTAAAAAGGGTCTCCGGTTCTCTACACTCACCAAACGAAACACAGCAGCGTTAAGCTGCTATTTTACGCTAGTTTCTGTGAGAGCGTGGTCCTTCCCCGGTCGAGCCGACCCATCCGTATTACAACTATACTACTAATATAGCTGCAGCATGGCTCTACCACGTAAAAAACGACCTTCTTCTCCTATGTCCCTACATAGGAGAAGCAGGTCGTTTGTTGAGCAATGTTTTCTTTTATGACTAGATCAAAAGAACTAAAAGTAAGGAGTTAGGTAGGAAGAGGAAGTTGGAGACATCAGGATAAATAATAATGGTAGTGAGTGCACGAAAACTGCGGCGATGATGAATATGTAATCATTTTTATTGAGAATGATATGTAGGAACATGACGATTAAAAATGAAACGAATACAGTTATTCAGAAGACGGTCATATTTGTTGAAAAGATCTGCATTCAGGTCGATATAACAGACATCACCACAGTCGATCAGGGGAAAAATGAAACTAAACTAAAAAAACTTAATTAAAATTAAACTGTCTTGATTCGAGATGGGAGAAAAATTTTTAGGCGAGAGAGCAAAAACGCAGGATGCTGGTGTTTTTCAGGCTAACGGTTGTTGCTTGGGTTTTCCAATTCAAAGTGGAATCAATATATTATATTCTCCTTCGGAGTAGAACACAACTAAATCACGGTACTATGAAAAAGGATACGAGGATATATGTGATTGTGAAAAAGGTAAAATAAACGAAAATCCCAGACATTTGAAGATGCTCAGTTGACATACAAATTAAGGCGACACCGCGAAAGTGCACCTCCTTTCATCGCATAGTATAGGAGTATGACACATTATGGTAAATTCATATCTTTATCTTGAATTTGCTTGCTCAAAAACACGATTGTAAAATTTTGACTCGATCATAATTGTTTGCGAAAACACCTCTAAAAAATCACTATAGTTGAAATTACAACGAAATTACTTAATTTATGTGCTTGGGAACCACTCAAATACATTCATAACATCAATATTCGTAATTTACTTGCTCATTATTTTGATTACTTAAATCAATAATTTTTTTTAAATATTTTAAGATTCTAAGCGATTTCTAAGCGCTCTTAGACGTCGTGGGCGCTACGCAATTTTAGACCTTATGACGGCGTTTTTGAAGTTTTTATAGAAATTATGTTTCACTCTGGTTAGTTCGGCGATAGCCCGCTTCAACGGTTTTCGATGTGTCGCCTTAAGTAAGTTTTGTACATTTTTATGGCGGCAAATTAGAACTAAGTGAAGTTATGTCGCATAAATTATACTATATTTTTTCAATATTGAGGGCGAGTGATCCCTTTGGTCACAGCTGCTCGTGGCCCGTTAACACAAATCTCGGCGGACAGTGTGACCCGTTTATGATCGCTTCAATGAACAACCTTTAGAAATCTGAACTGACCGGGTCAATACTTTCGTGACCGCTCTACACAAAGTCAGTTAGTAAGTTTAGAGAATCATACGTGGTAGGGCCAAGTTTCAGATATATTATGGTTGTAGCACGAACGGTTCGGCTCAACCGGGGTAGGAACACGTTCTCACAGAATACCAGCGTAAAATAGCAGCTTAATGCTGCTGTGTGTATAATAGTGAGGAGAACTGGAGTATCTTTTATGCTGCTTTTAAGCTGTTGATTTAACGCTGCTGTCTTTCGTATGGTGAATATAGATAACCTGAGATTATTTTTACTGGAAACTAGGCGTTTCAGCATAGTCATCAAGGGTAACAATACATCGGCATTTTCTTCGTATTGATTACATTGATACATGATTCTTAATTAAAGATAAATATTGATGTCTATGGGCTACATCATCTACTTAAAATCAGATGGACTGTTTGCTAGTTTGTCACCCTAAAAAAACACACTAAAATTCTGCATACTGAATGCAAAATCCGTTTACGTTCACATTAAAGCTCCGTGCACCTGTGGCTGTAATAAAAAGCTTTATAACTCTCGAATTATGCCATGACGAATGTTACACATTTTGGATGTTCCAGACGATAAATCTCTCACAACAGGGAAATTACAGAAATATATTCTTTACTTACGCTCTGCTTTCTCTAAGGATTTTTATTTATTGTTGTTATATGATCACATTACCACGTGAATAAATCAGCACTTAAAATTGCAATTTACAATTTCTTGAGCGCTGACTTACATACCACGTGCTCGGCGGTGAAGGAAAGCATTATTAGGAACCCTGCATATCTGAGGTATTTAGAAAATATTTCGAAGATATGAGAAGTCCGCCAACACGTAACGCTGCGAGGTTAACACTATCTTGCTCTAAAACCCTCTTAGAAATTAGAGGCCTGTTTCCAGTAGTGGGACGTACACAGGCTGTAAGTTTACTTTACTTCGTATTATAAATGAGCATTTAAGTGTTATAATATCTCTATATTTAAAAATCAATTGCTGTCCGTTAGTCTTGCAAAAACTAGAAAATGACTGGACCGATTTTGATAAAAAAATTTGTGTGTGTTTGATTGATGGATGAACTAAACGATTCACACTATTGGACCCGGTAGGAAGCACTGTTGTCGAGATCCAGCAATCATCCGTGCGAAGCCGGGGCGGATCACTAGTATTATATAAATTTAAAAAACAAGAAGGAAATAGAAGCGGAGAGTGAAAATGAAATAGCTTAAAGACTCTCGAACTCAATACTAAATACATACTCTTAAAATAATATTTGATATTAAAGTACTATAGTAGATAGATATTCGTAAGATTACTCGTATTACAAAAAAAACGTTATTAAATAATCAAAACTACATGCCTAAAGGAACTTTTTGTTTAATTCTGTTATTTCAAAGAACGTCAAAATTAGGTGAGCAACATAACCATAAGTTAAAACTAAAACGTAGTGATTATGATATACTCTTTGGTTAAAAATATATTATACGTTAGAATGTGATTAATAAACACATGATATCCAATTATTTTAATCTTTAATTACTTAAAACATTCTAAGTAACAATATTTATGAATTTTCTTCGTGAATTTCTATTAACAAGATCAGAATATTTCGTAAATATATTCGCAGTGTGATAAAATTACGCGTCGATAACTTACGGATGAACGAACGGACAATTTTGTTAACTGTGCTCATATAACAAAATTACACCCGGTACGTAATGGGTACAGAAACTCAGATAGCGAAGGTATTGGTATAACCTTAAATTCGTAAATAATTTTTATATTATATCTAGGACACAAATAAATCATTTTAGTTTCACTCATACGATTAGTAATTCATTGAATTGAAAGTTAGGTAAATAATATCTATTTCGGGGCATGGTCAAGGAAGATTCTTGTGTAAAAATAACAATATTTTTGTTTTTGCTTTTAAGTCTCGTAACTATAGGAATAATTAAATTTGTACGTATTATAATTTATTTATATTGTATTTCATTAAATTTGTTATATAATACGTCCTTTAAAAAATTTATAATAAAATTATGCTAAACTCTTTCATAAAGTTTTTAATATTACATGTGGCTTTTACATTTTGTTTGAAACTTCCGAACGGAAGCACAAAAGTAGCTTTTGGACTCGGTCTGTTGTTAACTTATGAAAATAAAGGAAACGCAACATCAAAAGCCCTCCAGGTGTTAACCCAAAAGCGATATTCAAACAAGATGAGATGAAAAGGGACTCGTTAAGAGTAATGATAGTTTATTTTTTTAATTAATTACTTTTATGAAGTGATAAAATATAGTATTAATATTTTACTGTTTGTCCATTAGCAATTCGCAGTGGCCTATTAAAGAGTTACGACGTTGAGGACTGAGGTTTGAATCCCGTGCGGAATAAATATTTGTATGGCTTAATAAAAATAATATTACGCCATACAAATATTTAAAAA